AAGGAAATCTCTATTTGCTAAACTAATTAAACCAACTAATATGATTCACATTCTTTTGGTGAGGACAATATTTTAAAACATTTTAAATGCAATGAATGTAAGGTAACGTATCAGAAATCTGAAATGGCGAGTACCAAAAATGAAAGTACCGGTATCAGATTGTTTATAGAAAAAGTGGTATTGGTACATACATAAATACATACATACTTATATTATTATAATATTAGGGCTGTGTTTCAGCAACAATGTCATGATACGATATGTATCCCTTACACAGGCCACAATAAGATATACATCATGGTACTAAATTTGACCTCAGCATCACTGTTTATTAAACACCGCATACAATAGGGCCATTGCAGTTACCCTCTGCAGCACTGTATAACAAAACAGGTACAGTAATGACAATATAGGTAATGCTAACATTGGGCACTTCCCACCAGGTACAATATTCTGATTGTTTTCTTCTTATTTTTTAAACATATAAAAAAAAAACATGTTCTCATTCTAATAAATTGATATTAAAATGTACTCAATCTAATAGGCCAACAAAAATAAAATCATCTTTACACTGCTGGTAGGTTATCAATGCTGCACAAATTAAACACTCTTAAGAAAAAATATTTTAAAAATTAGAAGCGTTATAAACTGCTGTGCACGTGCTGCGGAATTGAAACAGAAACTGCTTTATTTCAAACTTTTTATCGACAAGTAGTATGTGTCAATTGTTGCATTGATGTATCGAACACAGCCCTACTAAATATGCATATAAAATATATAAATAACCCCCCCCCACACACACACACTCACACACATGGGGAGATTCCATAGACATTGGTTTTTATACTGTACAAATTCCCCCATACACTAAACCTACACCTAAAACTACCCATAACAGAAAACTTTCTGCTAATGTTAAAAAAATATATAATTTATCCTTATGTATGATTTATAAGTTTGTTTCCTCATTGACACCAAAAACATTTCCCCACAAGGTCAAACTTTACTGGTATTTCTATATAAATTTGGGAAACTTTGGGAAATTTTTGTCCACATAAAGTGTCCCCACACACACACACACACACACACACACAAACATACAAACATGCACACAAACTGGTCAGTATTAATACTTGTTAGTATACTTAATAAATACTTCGTAGTATTTATTAATGAATTAAAATGACAACTTATTGATTATATTACTTAAAAGTGGCCATAAAGACAAAGTTTTTAACATTGCTAATAATAAGAAACAAGCACTAAATCAACATACTTGTACTAAAAGATTTATGTGCTGCTGAAAATTCAGCCTTGCTATCACAGAAATAAATTACATTTAAGAATATATGAATAGAAAACGTTACGTGTGTGTGTGTGTGTGTGCGCATCTTCTTAGCCATATTTTTGGGACAAATCTGTACCCAGAAGTGACCTAAAATGACTAAAACTATCATTGATGTCCTAATTTGTTTTTTTTTTTTTTTTTTACAAAAGTGCATATTTATTTTTTGTACAATTGTAAAATTGTAAAAATGCAGAAACTTCTAATAGCAAAATGTTTAAATTATCACTGAAGTAACCAATTACAATTGCACCATGTTGTAGGAGTGGCCGATATGATCAAAATCTTATTACGATCATTTTATGTTACAAAACCAATATCATGATATCATTTTTTTTAATGTATAATTTTTTTATATCAAATTTCAAGTCTTGTTACCAATTTCAATATCAAAAAGAATGAATACTAGCATAAGTAAAACAATAAAATAAAATAAAAAATCTCAAACTAATTGATGACAAGTAAATCGTCAGTGATAAAATAAGAACAACGAAACTAATTACCAGCATACCGGCAAAAGGACAACAATCTACAATAGAACAAAGAAAAAAAATATATAGATTTACCTGAAAACTTCAAGCACTAGAAATAACTTAAATGTTTTTATAAATTAATCAAATAAAAAACAACACATAGTCTTTACAGTGTAAATTAAATATACATTTATTCTTATTAAAATTACAAGTGATTTAGCATTGAGAGATTTTCTCTTCTGTTTTGTAATGACACACGGCAGGCATCAAGTATATTAGGCTGCTGTCACTGTATGACTGAATGCATGGATCCAGTATACTGTTACTGATGTGTTTTCTTTCTCAACTATTTACATTCACTTAAGACATAAATGGTTAAAAATTACTTGTTTTAGAACTGCCTTTTCTTAAAAAACGAAAATGAAAAGCTTTTGTGACAGCACAGCAACGTCACTTCAGCGTAACCGAGATAGAGAAGATATCCCAAAATCTCTACAAATTTCTTTTGGTTTATCATGCCGACTGGTATATCGACGACCCTATACTTTGATGTCAGCGACACACTCAAGCCAAGCTGACGTCACTGATGTAACTGAACGTGACAGCCCAGTTTGCCATTGTGAAACAGAGAATGGCATTTGAGAGAGGCCACGGAGAGGTCATGTTCTCTGAATATTGTCTAAAATTTCAGTCTGTACAAAACTATTGTATGACTTTAAAAGACTTGGAATTTCAATGTTAAATAAGGTTAGACGCCCTTGAAATTTAGATCTTTCTGCGTGACAATGATTTCCATTGTAGCAAGTTCAATCATGAAATATTGATTAACAAAACTTAAAGAAACAGAAAAAACCTTTCTTACTGTTGCCGCTATAGTGGAAAGTATACATTGCCAGGCTGCCTTATTTCTTCTTGATCAATAAACAAAATGGTGGTTGCTGATGCCAAGCAGACCATCACTCCTAATATTTAACTAAGTTAGATATGTAGGGTCTATGTGCAGAATAGCAATACATTTTATCTGTCATTCACTAACTGAGCACATCTATAAAAGAATAATGTGGTGGTCTCAAACTGCTCTATTCGATAGTGACTCACCAAGGACTTTGACAAATGGTACTGTCTGGCAAACAAGGCAAAGATTTAAGTGGTGGGGAAGATAGGTGATTATTCTCCCAAAAATGTGTGTGGGCTGTCCTCATTCGATCCCAACAAAACAAACAAGCACACTCATTCTCTGATGACGCCCAGTATTGACCTGTCGGCTAGAAAGAATGACCAAGCAAAACTGTTTCGTCCACACAAATGTTCAGGATACATCAAGATAGCTCGAAGAGCCCGCAAGAACAGTCTGTTCAAATTTCCGAAAGGACAAATAAGACATTATAATCGCATTACGTACGATTTGGGGTTCCAGGATTTGTGCCACTGTAAGAGTCAATCTAGCAATTTCATTTTTGATACAATTCTGCGGGAGATTAAATTTACCACTCACCGATTCCTATTACAAGACTGCTGTTCATCATGTGTTTCCTGTCGTTTCTCCTCCCTCTCTTTAGTTGTTGTCATTACCCCAACGGTGCTTGTATATTTTCTTAGCAGTACTTATTAATTATCCCAGATCATGCCGAGATACATGCAAGTAATGGATTCTAAGGACAAAAGATCCATCATGATCATGAAACAGCCTTCGGCTATGAGAGTGAAAAAGAAGGACATTCATTTTGCTGATTATAATTACACAGAAGAGACTCAGTGATGGGCTACAGGTTACGGCCTCTAACTACACATCTTCAGATATGAAAGGTCTGTATTAGTTTGCTTTATCTCAAAGAGGGTTAGAGTCCTTACAGTGATCTTTCTCTAGTTAATTTTAGACAGTGGACAAAGTACGCACATAGAAAATAAACATATTTGCCACAGCTGAGAGTCAACACCTCCTATTGAGGTGTCAACCATAAACACCAAGTTTACTTTGCGATCCTACCAGATAATTTAGACAAATAATTGTCACAAAACTATCTTCTAATGACTGGAATGTGAGGGGAAGCCAATAAACAAAGCATATATCGACACAACAGCTCAAAAGAATAATTAAATATTTGTAAAAATGGATATGATATTCATATGCCTAAATATTAAGTTCTCTATAATGCTAAAATTGTAATCAATTTAATTGAGCTAAAAAAAAGTGCTGTGAACCAACACGGGAACCAGCATACTGTAGATGGGAACTCCTTCAATAGAAATAAAAAAGCATCCCGTGGCACCTCATGAAAATTCTGTCATTATTTACTCACCCTCAACTTGTTCCAAACCTGTATAAATGTATTTCTTCTGCTGAACACAAAAGAAGATATTTTGTAGAATATAGAATATTTTGTAAAACCAAACAGTTGATGGGCCCATAATGCGGCCCATCCACTGTTTCGTTACTGTGATGTGCGTAAAATGTTATTTTACATGGACATTATCAGTAATTATGCTGCTGAGCAGGATGGATAATATTAAAAAAAAAAAAAAAAAAGAATTTCCAGAATAAATTTGGACCATAAATGAGCCACTCCTCTTAAGACAGTCTAATTTCCCTTTTGACTTATGACAGTATTTGCCCATAAAAAGAAAGTGAAAAATAAAATGAATCAATACATATGAAATTAACAACCAAACCCCACAAAATGTATATTTACATCCAATTGAACTTGGCAGTATTTCATCATTATGTTATTACGTAACATACAATCTCACACTACATCCTACACTCCAACTGCTATCTATAGCCTATAGGCTAATTTCTTAAAAGGGCAACACACATGTAGAACTAGAATCCCTATTTACATAATGAAATTTAAAAGGTTTTCACCAACGTTTGATGATTTCATAGTCATTAGTAACACACTCATTCCATATTTTCAGTAAGACTGCAAACATACATCTATGAAAAACTACTTTGAAGGCCCTTTGAAGTCAAAATATACTTTCTTGCATATGGATGTAAGTTCAACTCAAATTCATATCATCGATTATTAATAAATATTGTCAGCAAAGAGGAAAAAATATTGTTAATGCAATGTACCTCAAAGCCACCATCGCCCTAAAAACCAAACTAGGAGTTAATATCACTAAAGTAGTTATTTATCAATGAAAAACATGGCAAACCATAAATCTGATGAAACACTTACCTTTTACAATTAACTGGATGAGCTTTGGGCGTTGGTTACGTTCACTCTGTATCGAGCAGGTGTACAAGCCCTCGTCCGTTACATCCACTTTCTGTATCTGTAAGCTGTATTCATGTTTATCCCCCACATTCGATACGATGGACACACGAGGATCCCCTGACCACTTGTCATTCCCTGCATAAATGATACTGGAACGGTTCAACCATGCTCCTTTTGAGATCCCATCCAACAGGTAGCATCTGAAATCAGAATGATTTATGATCAGAATCATAAATACTTAGACATTTACAGATGTCACGGATGTTACAACATCAGCCAGATAATTTCCATAATGACCAATGCAATGTACCAAGAGCAGCACAAATAAGACTCTGGTTTAAATAATGGTACAAAATAACAGTACATTGACTAGCGCAAAGGGTTAGTTCACCCAAAAAAACAAAATTCTGTCGGTAATTACTCACCACCCTGTAAGACTTTCGTTCATCTTCGGAACACAAAGTAAGATATTTTTGATTCAATCTGAGAGCTGGATCACTCCTCCATAGGCGTCTATGCAATTGAAACTTGAATAATGACTTTATTCAACTATTCGTTTTCTTCTATGTGGGCCTCTGAGTGAGTGTAACACTTGGACTATTTTAACGATGTTTAAAACGAAAGTCTTACGGAGTTGGAACAACATCAGGGTGAGTAATTACTGACAGAATTTTCATTTTTGAGTGAACTAAACCTTTAAATCACCTTGCTTGTTCCACCTTGCCCATAAATTTGGCACCTGAAAGGAAAACTCCTAAAAATACATATGCAATAATGTCAGCCGTAAAAATGACTGTGTCCACGCCTCTTTAGTAGTCAGTAAGAGGGTTTGCACTGGAGCAAGCTGTTAGTAATTCTGGCACTTTGAATGAAATTGGCGAGATAAAATGCATCTTTCCACGCGAAACTCCACACTCCACACTGATTAGAATAAACAAAAAAGAAGCAAGCCAAAAAAAAAAAATTTTCAGATTTTATTTTAGACTCACTCTAAAGTCACTCTGACTGTTTAATAAAAAGCCACGTGCAATTCATAAAATGACATCAGTCCCTGGTGTGCACAAAAGAAACTGTCCAAAACAACAACAACAAAATAACTATTTAATATTTAAGCAGTAGTTCCCAGTTGATGGGTCAAGACCTAAATATGGGTCACACGTCTGTTCTAAAAAAAAAAAAAAAAAAAAAAAACTACAATGTTAAATGCAAACTAAAATGTAAAGTGTATAATTATCCATTTAGGAGAGAAAATTAAATAGGCTTATCCACTTTTTAAAGGAAGGAGAAAGTGGTTCCAATTTCTTTTGCTGTTGATGTCAAAAGCCACGCAGCCCAATTAAAACCAACAGTATTTTGGTGCAAATCCATCCGTCACTTCGTAGAAGCCAAATTATGCAGATCCTAACAAGGACAGGTTGCATGACATTCCTTCTTCCTCAAAAACAATGTTTTTATTTTTTTTATTTCAAGGTCATCCTGTTTTGTTTTTGATTCTGGATTTCTATCATCTGTATTAAACATCTTCAAATTGACAGTTCTGATTTCGAAACACAACACACAAATATTTAAGGCTTTTAAATCTGATGTAATTTCCATATTCCATTGCAGTGTTATCAGGCTATGTTCATGTTGGTGAGATATACCATTTAAGATATACCAGATTTAAAAAAAAAATTTGAAGAAAGTGAAGAAAGTCATTCACACAGGTTTGGAAAGACATGATAGTTCTTTGTCATAATTGAGGGGTAGGGGGAGGAGGGGTGGCCTATACTTTTAATATCATCTTATGGTGTACATTATTTTACTGTTATCCTAAACCTGAAAAGAGATTGTTGTGAAAAATTCGTTCAAACTTTTAAATTCTGCCATATTTACTCACCCTCATTCATTTTAAAACATCTTCAAATCAAAAAAGATGCAGCTTGGAGCTTTAATCTGGTAGCACGTCTAACATATTTGTTGTTATTTGTCAACAGTGGTATGATGAGTGTTATTCACACAGGATACTCTTGAGGTTACAGGTGAGATGGGAGTCAACATATCCGTCATTACCTTGAGGGACTCAGCTCACTTCCTCAAAGTTGAATATTCAACAAATCAAAAAAAAAAAAAAAAAAGAAAAAAAAAAAGAGGCTGATGTTATGAAACAGGATTGAACTTTTGTTTCACTTGGGCTTGTTAAAAAGTGTACACACAATGATAAGACAAGATTCAAAAAGACGCAGTTGAGTTACAACATTGAGTTATGCATGAGAAAAGCCCACTGGAGAGTGTGATTTAGAGCAGATCTTATTAAAAAAATGTATTGCTGCTTCTAGAACACAGCCTCCTAAATTAAAAACATTTCATAATGTCAAATTGTTTATGTGTACAGCATCATTAATCCAATAAAAGTAACAACTGAAATATTAATTGTTGCTTTTATTATTAGTACCATCTTAAATTTAAATGTATGAAACACCATCTGAAATATAACAAGTGATGTCATAATTTTGACAAATAATAGGGCATAACTTATGTAGGCTTAAATTCATAAACATAACTTAGCCTTCACATTAGCATTAATGTCATAAGAGATAAGACACTGCAACATTTTTCACTTAAATCAATAATTATCCAAATAAGTACTTGTGCTAAATGAGCATGCATACAGTATATAGGCCTAGCCATAACTTCACATTAAGTGTTCAACCAAGCATGCACAACTACAAGTGACTGCAGAACATGGAATCACACATCATAAGCACATTCCTAGGGTCTTGCTAGGCCAAAGGCCATAATTCTTCTTCTGGAATCCCCTAACAATAATTATATCCCTTAAAACTCATCTTTGATCATCAAAATGTCAGATTTAAATATTTTTTTCCAGTGAAAATATTTTCTCCATGCTTTTAAATAGCTTGACTGTAACTCTAATAGCTACACCGTTTAGCATACACAGAACCATTAATATGCAAATTTGTCCAGCCTCAAAACAACCAAACCAGCTCAGACTACCTGATCCACTCGGTCAACTGTAGTAAATGCTACACATAGTGGAATTATTGGTTTAATTAAGGCATATATGTTTATAAAGGAAACATGATTTAGAAGAAGAAATGGAAGAGTGAATTATACAGGGGCGTCTACAAATCGATATATCAGAATGGTAATATGTTTTATATATCAGCCCATTCTCATCCCCAAGGCGTCAGTTAAGTGGACATTTGGACATGCTTCAATATCTGACGCTTTAGGCGCCCTTTAGCGTCAGTTAGATGACACCCTAGGATCGCGTGCACCCTACCCCCCACCCCATACCTAAACCTAACCACGTCCTCTAACTGACGCTTTCCTTTAGCGTCAGTTAGATGACGCCGTAGGATCGCGTCATGTAAGTGACGCTAAAGGGCGCCTAAAACGTCAAATATTGAAGCATGGTCAAAGGTGACGCCTTGGGGTGAGAATGCGTTGTATATATTGTTCTCTATAACGTCGGACACAATGGTAATTAATATGATTAGCCTTTGGCTTGACTACATAATCGAACACCTAATAGCATGTTGCTAATGTTACACAAACCAAGACGTCAGACAACTACCTTCTAAATATCAGCATCCTTAGAAACGCTTTGAACATTATAGAATGTCTGTGAAATGCATATAGTTAACACTGTACCTCATACATAATTCACCAATTATATTGCTAGTACTGATTTTTCCTGTCCTGTTTGACTTACTTCGATATAGAAGAAAATACTCAGCAATGGTGTTGAACTGTTGAATTACCACATAAAGCATAATAAAACCCCCTTGTGGTGGTTCTACCAATAGATATCTATATAAAGGCTAGATATCTCGTCCACGCTGCTGGCCAAACAAGGTCGACGTCTGCACCTGGCGGCCATCTTGTCACAGGCAGCTCACTCACTCGTGTGTTAATGGTACATGCACTTTTTAAATAACCATAACTTGCTCAATTTTCAACCGATTTTCAAACGGTTTGGTTTGTTCTAGACGTCAGAGATGTAGTTATGACAGCATACTTATGAATAATAAGTGTATAAATAAATAATCATCCGGATAATATAGCCACGCTAATAACGTTTGTAAGAAACGAAACCGTTTGTAAATCCATCAAGATTTCAACGAGATAAGAGTATTTGTGTTCGTGCTGACCACTCATCTTACATCAGCTTGCCTGTGACAAGATGGACGCCGGTGATGAAGATAGAAACTCCGCCTTAAGACATCTAGATAGATATCTATGGTTCTACCAACCGCCAACACCTAAAATGGCAGTAATGCATTTTTTTTTTTTCAGCAAATAAATCACAAACACATTTTTTTTCTAGATATTTTTATTTATTTTACAATGATGCTAGTTCCCAATCTGAGAGCATGCATTTGGTTAATAGTATTCATTTGAGACAAATTGTTTAGGGATTTATACCTGTTTTTTTTTTTTGTTGTTGTTTTTTTTGTTTCTCCACACGCTGCTGCCGAGTCATCTGCCAAAGGGGGTGCTGGAGTTTGAGAGCACCTTTTATATTCCACCACAGGAAGTGGAAGGAACCATCTCCTGGCAGTGGGCAGAGGGACTCTGAACTACAAAGTTTCTGATAAAACAGCAGCATGTGGATATTTTGTTTGTTAAGTTAATATTGGGTTTCAAGTAGTGTTTGTTTGTACAGTATAAACTTATAGTAGGTGATTGGATTTATTTTGGGTCTTTTTAATTGTAGTCAATTAAGTTTCCCCACCTTTGTGTTTGGCGTGCTAGCCTGTGTGTGTATATATACCACCATTTTGTGTCATTCAGAAGGTCAGATTTGTTATGTTCAGACTTATTTTGTGGGTTTGTTATGTTGACCTCAGTTTAGCTGAGACCCACTTTGATTAATTACTTTTTCTAATGATTTGAAACGTTGTTTGGTTATTTGAAGCCATTTTTTTTTTTGCAAATCCTTGATCTTGTGCCTTGCCTTTACTGCTTGATCCGTGACACCCCTCAAAGACATAAACAACATTAAAAACTTGATTTTCACCACTGTTTTCAACATATTATAATTCCCATATTTCATGCCAGTATTATCAGACTATAAACATATTACAACATATGCTGTGCTCTTTGATACCAATCTCTCATTTGAAAGTCATGTGTCTAGTTTCTGTAAAACCGCATTTTTCCATCTTAAAAATATATCTAAATTACGCCATAT